ATTTTGCGACACTTGGTTATTTGAACACAGGGGACCTCAAAACATGTTTTTCCGTTGAAAAACGAGATTCGAAAATTTTCACGATCGCAATACTTACCATTACTATATATTACATATATACGTAAGTGAAAGTAAAAAACGCGACCACCTTAATAAAAACGAAAACTTGGTATTAACTCCTCTTTTGTTCGAAATCGCACATGCTTCAAAAAAACTGTTTTGATGGAAATTTTGTTTAGGAATCACCTTCCAGGGTTTGGTCATCAAGAACAGAGACACCAGAACAGATTGAATAATAAAAATATTGTCAGTTTATTGCACAAAATAGCCAAGTACATTTTTAATGTAGCTAAGACTTTTAAGAACGTTTTAGTGAATTTCGACCTTATTTAACGATAGAAAAAAAATACACTAAAATGACATAAAGCATTATACATTTCAAATCACTAGCTGGTCCAGAATTTAATTTTTGGGGGAGGGGCTTCAGCCTGAAAGCTTTTTTTTCATAAAAATAACGATAATTACTTTGGAAAAACAGAACTAAACTAACTACCTATATGAAATGGTGTTTAACTGAACACGAACAATAATACTTTAAGAGATAATTTTTTCCCATAAAACATGGTGATATTTTACAATTTGGGTGGGGGGAGAGGACTTCAGCTTAGAAAAACTAAATAAATAGACGGTGAGTGTGTAATTCATTTTAACGAGCACCAGAGTTTATTCTGAAAAAATAACCGACTGGTTTCAGGATTAATAATTACATATGAACTCTGTATTTTAAATCTTTGCTATGAACTAATAAAGAGTTATATTTGAGCCTTTCAGTTTACAGACTAACTCAAATTTCAACATTTTTAAATTACAATTTTAGCGATATTTCTAGTGGCAAAATTTATACCATTAAGTTCTATATTTCAATTACCTACTCTGGAATCAACTTACTCACTGTCTGTAAAGATATAAATTTTCCAGTTGTAAACATAGGTGTATACTTTCGATTTTGATTTGGAGTGGAGGAGAGGGACGATGGAATATAAAAAAAAAAAAAAAAAAGGAAAAGGTGTGAGTTTTTATTATGTGTTAAATTTCAGTGTTATTTTTAGGGGGGGCTTCAGCCCAAAGTCCCCGTAGATCCGCCCGTGTTTCAAATATAGCTAGAACAAGTCCAAAATTTTCTGATTTCACTAAGGGAAAATCCATCAAAGTTCTTAGTGGTTTAAGTTTATGAAATGTCACTTAATGTTTTTTTTTTGTAATAAACTGAAGATATCTTCCTGTTTTATTGTTACCACCAACTTCATATGATTATAAGTCAATATTAGAATATGCAAAAATGTTCACTAATCTTGCTCAGCCTATTCATGATAACTACTTATCAATTGTTTATGACCAGATTATTATTGTTATGAGGATGTATAGAAATGGAATATTTCCACAATGTTTTTGTATTTTATTTAATCTATGGAAATGTACTGTATTATGTTTATAGAGACACATAGCTGTGGAGTTGGTTTTTCCAATGATAATCTAACTCATTACTTCTTTTCTTGTTTCAGATGTCATATTACAATTCTTTGCCTTATCTCGGATAGATAACGTTACTCGGAACCAATTTCAATATAATTGTTATAATGAGGGAAGAGATGATCCGGAGTTGTTGACGAATGGTCAGTCCTGACGGTACGCCCTGATGAAGACACGAAGAGTGGGTCGAAATGTTGATTTCAATAAATATTTTATGCTATTTGAAGTTCCTTTTTTATACCTCCGACACGGACTATCTTCCGTCTTATCATATTTAGGTTTAACTAATACAAATCCAATATAATTGTTATAGATACGGGATTTTTCATTTTGGAATAAATACATGAAAAACTAAATAAATAGATGGTGAGAGTGTAATTCATTTTAACGGGCACCAGAGTTTATTCTGGAAAAATAATCGACTGGTTTCAGTAGTAATAATTACATATGAACTGTTTTAAATCTTTGATTAGAACTCATAAAGAATTATATTTGAGCCTTTCAGTTTACAGACTAACTCCATGTTCAAAATTTTTAGATCTTAATTTTAGTGATATTTCAACTGAAAAAATTTATACCATTAAGTTCTATATTTCAATAGCTTACTCTGGAATCAACTTACTTCCTGTCTGTACAGATATAAATTTTCCAGTTGTAAACATAGGTGCAGACTTTCAATTTTGATTAGGGGAGAGAGGGACGAGAGAATAAAAAAAAAAAAAAATGGTGTGAGGTTTTATTATGTGTTAAATTTCATTGTAATTATTGTGAGACGAACAAATATAATAGTGAAACTTTATTTGTTTATATGTTCGTATAGTTGTAAGCATTTTTATTCAATATTTAATATATTTATTTATTTTTGTTTTATTTATTATATATACTTAAAACAAAAAATGAATTGATATATAACTTATCTGTTAAGATTGGACACAGGGAGGAGAGAAAACAACCTACATAACACAAGTAAATTTCTAGAACTTTTACAGCTAAAAATGAATGATGGAGAATATGAAAAACAGTTTTGGTTTCTTATTGTGTACTCGAAGCTTTTGAGCTTTTTTATTTGTAAAAATAATACGTTTTTCACACTCGGACTAGTTCGCCACGGAAAATGTGAATATCACGTATGAAGAGGCAATTGAATCATAAAATCCTAGGGTATGCTGATATGCAGGGTGTCCTTAAGTATAAGTATAAGTATAAGTATTAAGTATAAGTCCTGATATTTACGCTTTAATGAAAATACTTCAAGCAATCAGCTAGCTTCTTTATTTTACACATAGATATTAAGACTGTAAACGTTTAATTGTTCACTTATAAATACGGATCAATTTCTATAATGGAGATCTTAATAAAAAAATATAAAAGACTCAATGTTATTATCACTTTAGATGATCAATATTCGAAAATCATTATTTTTTACATTTTTATTGTAATAAATAAAAACTGTATTTACTAATTTACGTTTATTACTAAAGCTTTGCAGTAGTTTATTGGAGTCATTTTGTTCTAAAGGGGTACTTAAAGGAGACAGGATGTCAAAATACCCCATTTTTTTTATAGAACTTGATGTGAATCTCAACTTATTTCGTAATAAACCCTCAACTGAAATTAATTAGCATGGACTCAAAGCCTATTATATAAGAAAGTTTTTCTAAAAGTGGGGTGTTTATAGTATAGTTGGATGGTGATAAATAGAAATCGTGAATAATTCGTGTTTTTGTTTTATATCCCAACTTAGTTTATTCGCTCAAAAGTCCAATTCAAGTCCATTAAATAATAACAGACTCTACTTTCATTTGCAGCAAATTTTGTAAAGTTTAAAGTGAAGCAATTGTTAATTAATTATAATGTCTAATGTTTTATTTATCGGTAACTATTCATCAAAAACTATGACTTACTTCAAAAAACAAAAAACTTTAATTTTCCACTATTTTCCGAAATACTATTGTTTACATGAAGTTTTTGATGGATATAGAGGTCTACTATAACGTGTTTAAATATTTCCATCTATTTACGGGAAACTCTGTATATTATTATTTTTTAATATAAATGGCACTTTAGTTAAAAGTAATATTTAGGTTTCAATAAAATCGTTACATACCTACTACTAGGACCGAGCCTAGTCGACTTTTCTTAATCGATTTTAATATACTCATTTTATTCATTCATTTAGCTTATTTATTATTGACTCTAAATTTGTTTGCCACAAATTATTGGGGGGAGGAGCGAAACGATATTCTCGTTCCTTCAACATTTTTATTGGGGAAAGGAGCCTTCACCCTCCGTATTCTGCGCCTACGACTGTGAATATCACTAAAATGACTACTCAAAAATGTTGAAATTGTAGTTAGTCATTTTGTCAACCGAAAGGCTCATTTATGAATTATGTTAAGTTAATAATAAAATACCAGTATTAGAAAATCAAATTGAATATTTTATTTTTTACTTTCAGGCATCATTCAGCCCTATTCTGTAAAGTCGGATTGTTAAATAACAACATATTAGCTTCAAGTCAATATCAGTAAGAGAAAGCAACAGAGGCTATGGCAAAATAGTTTATGGATATAATGTGGAAAGCAAAATAGTTATGTTACTGTTATTTAGTAACTGGTACCGTTGTTTTTCTGTATAAATTTCATTCAGTTAATTAGTTGTATTTCATATTGTGATCTAATATGAAACAAGCGTGGATCACCTGAAATAGATTTTTTTTTATGGACACATATTTGTTTCTCTGAATGAACTGAACTGAACTGATCAGGGGTTCGAACTCTTTAGAAAAAAAAAGTTTTTAAAATAAAAGTTTTAAGGAGCTTTATTGTGATAAATTTGCAATTTTACGGTAAAAAAGATTAACTTTTATTTAATTAAGTTCTAAAAAGAAAGTCACGTTAAACGAGAAATTGATTAGTTATAATTTATTTCAAATGAATTGCTTGAAACTAATTTGTAGTTTGTTTGAGTAGCTAAGATTAAAAGTAATTTAAAAAAAATATATATACTTCCAAAACTGGTTAAAAATAGAAGCTGAAAATTCATTTCAAATCCTGGAGGTATGTACTTTAAGCTGCTGAATGTAAGCACATGTAAAAAAAAAAATTATTATATAACATTATAATATATAATGTTATTATTTTTTTTTAGTAACATTCTGTTATCCTTAAATTTCTAAATTTCTTCCAGAATAAAGTTAGATTCTATCTATCTATCCGTTAAAAAAAAAAAAATAGCTCCCGAAAATTATATCCATAATGGGTTACTGGCTAGTATTTTATAAGTGGTCCAATTAATTCTTAAATTAATATTTTAATTACAATTTATATTATTTTTTCTATTTTTAGCAAACGTCTTATTAGTTTCTAAGAAAAAAACAATCCGTACTTCTCTAAAAGCAATATTTATTAATTAAACATGTTTTTTGCAAAGAAAAACTATTTTTTTTTATCTAATTAACACCAGCAAAAATGGTAAAGTTTTCAAGCACTACACGTTCCTGTCGGGTAAATTTAATCACGGATATTGGCAACACTAGGTTGACATCAGCCTCCTGCCAGGCCATCTTGCCCAAGATCAGGGACCCCAAACAGCTGGTTCCCTACCCTTGTACTAAATGTCAGGTTCCGCTGAACCCATTGAAAAGGAAGGTAAAGAAGGGAGGACCAGGTAAAGTTTCTGACGTAACTTTTGCGCGGGATAGCTCTATTCAACAAGGATAAACTTTCAAGATATATTTACTATACATATGAGATAGATAGGTACATATTTACAAGAGCATATTATGCAAGAACGTTATGCAATCTTCATACAAATAAAAACAATCATCAATTTTTCTTCTGATGTTTCACAATATTTTTGTATATGTATTTTGTATTTGTATACATTAAAAAAAAAATTAAAAACGGCGACTTAAAGATAATAAATAAATAAATGAGAGAGTGAAAAAAGGAAGGCATTTATGAATTTCGGTCATAAAAACAAAATTGATTATATAATAAAGGGTGTATATAAAAGTTAATACATGAAAACCTTCCTGAGTATAAAAAAAAAATCGTTACTTTGACCAATGAACTTTGACCTTGAGAGTTTTACAATTTTAACTTCCCAATTATCTAATTCAGAATTTAACATTTTTTGATGACGAATATTTAAATTTAAGTTAAATCATTTAAAAAAAGAAATTTAACGTTCTTTTTTTCAGAATATTAGAATTTCCAAAAATGTTCACTAATCTTGCTCAGTATATTCGACATTATGAAATAAGATCAGCAGGTCTTATAAATAAATTAAAAAAACATGAAGTTAACTGAGATAGATATTAAAAATATCATACAAAGGTTATGGTATATTCTTCACTTCTCACTTAAGTGAAAAACAGAAATCAAGAGATGCTTGACCTCCAGACTTGGTCATTTTTACTGAATAGCTTTCTTCAAGGTCACAGATGAACTTGTCCAAGCAGTATGGTTGCTGTACTCAAAATGTATAAAATTGAATTATATAAATATGTTATATGTGATTTAAAATTGGTATTCTACTATTATTTGGTACAGCTTTTTTTTTCATAATTATAAATGGAATATTAGATTATATTTTTTCAATAACTAAATAGTAATAAAAAAAAATACCAATAAAAATTGATTAATTCAAGTAAAAACTTCAAAAGCGGAAAAATAATAATTTTATAAATACCATTAAAAATCTTAATAAACCAAAAAAGCAAAACTATTCATTGACCCCAATTTATATATAGAATTGATGTATTTGATTTATACAATAATTAATATATAATATAATTAATCCAACTATAAATCGAATAACAAGGAAACAATTATCGTGCATTAATTAGTACACAAGGAAAATACTTGACGATTGGCCAGAATGTACACGTGCACACTGAAACGATTCTACTCACGACCTTCCTTCGAGACATTATGTAATAATGAGGCGACAATAAACTTTTCCAATGATGCAAAGAAGAAATAATTGTCAATATTATTGTTTTTAAAGAATCGCGGATCTTAAATTTAAATTTTAAAATAAAATGAGCAAGATTACTAAAGTATTTTGGAATTGAGATTCCGACATTCTGAAATAACAAAAATTATATATTTTCTCCACCCCATTCCTTTGTGAAATTATTCAACTCGAATTTCAATTTTCGTAATAAAAAGCTTAAAAATAGAGAATTAGATAATCGATGGCAAGTTAAATTGTAAAACCCTCAAGGTCAAAGGTCATTGGTATTATTTCATAAATGACGATTTTACTATCTTTATTTAATTCAAATTGACATATAAGATGTAAACAAAAATAATAAAAGCTTTATTTTTTTATGTTTTAGCTCGATTATTGATGGGTAATATTTTAAAAGTTTGAAAAATAAATGGACTGAAAAGGAATTAAAATAAATTATACCGTGACCGATCCAAAATTAAGTTTAAAAGATATAAACTATAGTAGTAAAGAAAGTTCAGAAATGAAAAAAAAAAACCTTTTAACCTGAAACTTAAGATATTGATTATCGATGACACAAATAATCGATAGTATCGATACCAATATGCCATCGAGTTTTAAATATCGGGAACGAAATCACCACTTTGGAAAGAAATGACCTTGATATTAATGTTGGAACATCGATTGTATGATATATTTATTCATGTTTAAACTTAAAATGTTTTAAAATATCATGTTTCTAAAAATACACGATATAAAAACCAAACTAAAAAAAAGATTACATAGAAAAAAGAAGGAACAATTATACAAATGGCGGACAAAGTCATTATCTGTAATCAACATCGTTTTATCCGTAGAAAAACTCGATATTATGGTTTTAACCTTCGACACATCGAATTTAAAACATCGATGATTTTCTCACCAATTCTTTATATTACATCATTAACTAAAATTTATTGTTATCAGTGAATAGGAATTATATTTATGATAATAATTTTGTTTTATTTATTACAGTAAAATTATTATGCACATCTTTAAATTGTTCATTTTATTTGAAATTTGAAGATATTTTGGTCATGTAAGGTCTAAAACAAAATCAATTGAGCCACTTAAGTACAAAATCTATGTTTTCTGATTTGAAGAAAAGTAGTTCAAAACATTAAGTTAAATTTCAATTTCTTCATGTTATTTAAAGCTTAGTAAATTATTTCTGTATTTATTAAAATATTTTGATTGATTGATTTAGTAGTATATTATAAGTTGAATGAAGAAGAAGAAAAATAAATTTTATTCTGGAACATGTAGTCCCCTAAGAATAATGAAATTGAACAATAAGAATTACATTTACATTTGTCTGGCACAAAATGGCAAACAAGAAATAATTGATTTACAAATTTACAGAAAGTTAAAATAAAAATAAAAGATAAACATAAGTAAACAGATGAAATTTTAGATTAAAAAAATGTCAATTTGTTTATGTCATTGTGCAGGTAAGTAATAAAAGTTAATAAGGCAAGTAACATTTGTAACAGAATTTTTATAGGAAGGAGTTCTATGAGAAAGAAAATGCAGGTTTGTGTGCTGGGATCTTTTGCTGAACTTATGGACTATTATTTTCTTCTATCTAATCTTATGCACACAAGTCAGTCGACCATATACAAGACAGCACTAGTAGATCCAGTATTAAATTTTGGAGGAGCTTCAGCCCGAAAGTGTGCTCACAGTCAAAATGATACACCTGGATATTAATAGAAATCATTGAACAAATAAATAGTTCAATTTATATTACATTAAAAACAATAATTTACTGTAATCAATAAGCATCCAGGTAAAGTGTTATTTTCTTATGTTCTTTATCTTGTTCTTATGTTATGTTATGTGCTATGTTCTTTTCTTATGTTATGTTTCTTGGTGTAGCAATGAATTGCTGCTCCTGGTGTTGGATATTTTCACTTCATAGTGGAAATATTCACATGGTTTAATGAACAAGACTTTTAAAAATATCTTCTTGAAGAGTGGAACAGACTATGCATGTAATCACCAAAAAATTGGTCGACTCCATTAACTGATGGAAAGGAGTGGTAGAAAATATTGACTTACCTACAAGGTGTTGAACTAAATTAATAGTATTTCAAAGTTAAAAAGGTGTATCATAAGAAGTAAGGTGTATTATTTTGACTCTGAGGTAAAATTATCCATTTTTTTTTTTTAAATAATCAAAGTTGAATATTTTAATTTTATTGAGTTTGTATATATTTGAAATGAGATTATAAATAAATGCGTTGAAGAGTTTCTGATTTTATTTATTGTGACTATTGAAGTCTTTTCAATTTTATTTTTCTATGGGGTGTATCAATTCCACTATGAGCCACTGCATATATAATAATAAATAGAAGAAAAATAAAGAAACTAACAACCAATATGAAATCGTGTTTAAGTGATTCTTGAAGTTCTATTAAATGAAATAAATACACAAACAATAATATTTTTATGGGTGATAAATAATCAGGAAGTAGTATTTTAAAAAAAAAAATTAATTTTTTATTTATGCCAACGTTTCAACCCAAACATGTGGGTCATCTTCAGGACGTGGTTTGAGCACTGAGGGTGTTCAAGTACTCCTTAACAAAACTGTAATATACCTAGTGCTAATATACGGCTCAGAAACGTGGACTATGACTAAACATAATGAACAGATTCTCCTTGTGTTTGAGCAGAAAATCTTCGAAGGATATTTGGAGGAGTGTTGGTGGATGGAACCTATAGCGCACAAACCAGGAGGTTTATGGTCTATTTAGAAAGCTATATGTAATTCAGATGGTTAAACTGTTGTTGTGGTGGGCGGGACATGTGGTGCTCATGAGCGAAGAAGAGGAAGCTTTTGATGGAGTCTCTCTATGGAACAAGAAGACGAGAAAGACCGAAGCATAGATGGGTCAGCTGAAGCTCGGAACACATCCTTGAAGTGCGCAACTGGATGGCAGGGGGAGGCCCGAACCTGACAACGGGTTGTTGCACCGAAATAAATAATAATACTATTTTAATTGTTAAATATGAAAAAAAATAAATATCTTTGGTAAATTTCATGTTTCATCTTAGTGACTTATTTACTTTCCAATCATTTATTTAGTATTTTTTAAAATAGTTTTTGTTTTTTTGTTCAAAATGAACAGACAAAACACTTTGTAAGATTTACTACAGGAATTGATAATTTGTCTGGTTATGTTGTATAAAATGGGAATTTGCCAATGCCATATGTTTTAGCATTAACCAGTCAATGGTTTTTCTGGTCACTACCCAGCATGTTCTACAACAGGATGCAAAAACTAACCTTATTCAATTACATATTCAGAGTAACCAGTTTCCGCCTTCCAATGAAATAAGAAATTTAATTGAAGGAGTCCATGTTTCTCGAAGAATTAAGTTTTTATGAATGCCAGCACATCAGCACCATTTGGATCCAACTCTAGCTAGAGAACATAGAGTTCGATGACTTCAGTTCGGCCAGGAACACATTGATTGGACAATTAATGTTTTTTTTTCTAGTTCCATTCGTTATTTTTGATGCCACCATATTTTTTATAATTAAATAATTGTCTGTAATAAAAAATCTGTGATGTATGTCTGTAATAAAACGGAAGATAAAATCCAACAAAATGTCAATTTCGGAATTCAATCAGAGAATGTTGACGAATAAAAAATTCTTTAAAAATCCGTCCTGTCTTTCAGTATTCTTTAGTAATATCCCACTTATCACATGTTGAAAAAATACGTTACCTAGAACTCCACTTGGACAAAAGTCAACTTGGTATCTTCAAACAAGACTCAAGAACCCGGCGACGTTGCACATACTAGACAAACGCTATGAGCTTTCAATCAATTACAAAACACACATATATGACTATAATAAGTCTTTTTTGGACTTGCAGAGTTGAAATTTAAGCCTCCATTAAACCACTAAACTCCTCTCGTATCCATTCCTTAAATATAAAACTCGTCGTAAAATCCTCATTGCCACAAATAAAGTCATTTATAACGACCTTAATGTTCTATACGTTTCCGATTTATTTGTTTAATCCAGATAGCTACCCTTCCATAATAAATTTTAGAACCATCGGAACTCACATTTCTAACCTTGATTCCTCTTCGAATCCTGGTAACCCTGAAAAGAAGATATCCTCGGGACCTCCTGATGTAGAAATATTATTAGTGTTCCACCAATGTATAGTTTTTATGCCAGTATTTTCATGTCATGATATTTATCTATTTCACATTTGCTAGATGTATTATATTTTTATGATTTTAATACAGTTCCTATTTCATGAATGAGAATCAAAATAACACTTCAAAGTGTTACGCACTTTTGGTTGGATGAACAGTATTATTTCGGAATAATACTATTCTTATAATAGAAAAGCATTATATCTTGTATATTTTTTAGTTAGAACGTTTTACCTACTAAATTATCCAGCAGACACGGGAGACACAGGAAGCAATATATGGAAATATTAATTGCTATGGGGTCATTACACGTAACCTACTTTTGTTCCATTATCCTTGAATAGTATTTAGTAAGTAGAACAATATGTAAATCACGGAAGCTGGAGCATGAAAAAAATAAACCAAGATGGTCTCGTAGGAGAGAAGTGAGGATTCTCTCAACTTCGTCCATACTAGAATCATTGGCGTACTTCGAAGGAGGAGGGCACGGAGTGAGTCGGGGCTTACTAAGGGGCCTCACAGCATTTTCTTTTTTTAATTTTACGAAAAATTCGTACAATTGATAAATTCTTGGCAGCAATTGATAACCCATGGCTAGGGCACTTCCTAATAAGAGAAATGTTGAAGCTATGGTGGGAGATGAAAAGATGAAAAAAATAACAGTCAGAGTAGTCTTTGTCTGTGTTCCATCCCATAGATTGAAAGAACTGCAATGAAAGAACACAATAAAACTAAAATTACCAATAAGAAAGACAAAAATATTGCAAGACAGTGAAGAAAAAGTCACCATACTGCTCCAACACTTAATAGAAACCAAATATTATAATACAGTGTATGAACTTGCCGCCTATGATTGAGGCAATTACACATTAAAACAAAATTTCTTGATCATTTTAAGGATTACTTTACTATTCCTGAACAATTTTATCTTACACTACATCTTACAGTCAATCATACCTATTAGTTTTTTAATAATTTTATTTATTATATTTACAACTGTATTTATGTTAGTAAAAGAGGAATATAATCACATGGAAACGCTTGTTGAGAAACTACCCATTTTCAGGAGATCACGAGGCGATCAGGAGATCATCTTCTTTTCAGACTCCTCGGAGGTTTATCAGGAATCGAAGAGGAAGCAAGGTTAGAAACAAGAGGATTCGGATGGTTATGAAGTTTATTATGGAAGGATAGGTATCTGGATTGGGCCTAATTGGAAACATATGGAACATTAAGGTCTTCATGGATTATTTTATTTGTGACAAAGTAAGGAGCATTGAGGATTTTACGAAGGATTTTGGAATGTAAGGATTGGATAGGAGAGGAATTTGATGGTTTAGTGGAGCCCTATAGCTTAAGTCCAAATAGGTCTTATTATTTTCATATATGTGAGTCTTTTGTAATTAATTGGAAGTTTAGAGCGTTTGTCCAGTAAGTGGAAACGTCGAGCAGTTTCTTGTCGTTTCAGTCTTGCATGAGGAATCCATGTGAGTCGTTTGTCCAGATGGAGTCCTAGGCATCGGATTTATCCTACAGGGATAAGTGGGGTGTTATTAAAGACAGATACTGTAGGACATGAAGTCATAGCTTTACGACGCTCCCAAATTTAAAAATCGAAATAATAAATACACACACACAAATATATATATCTGCGTATATATAATACAGTTTTTTCAAATTCAATCCTTTTCAAACTCTCTGGAGCAATGGATTTTAACGGAGGATTTTTTTTTTATCTGCCTAAAAATTCATGAATTCTTATTGGAACCTACAAATTTCTTATCTGCGGATATTCTCAGAAATTGGGCGGTTTCTCATTAGATTAATTTGCTTTCCACTTGAATGGTAAGATAATTTGATAACAAAATTTATATAAAAACAAAAAAGGTTGCCTACAAAAATATTGTGCCGTTTGGAGTGTTACCTCCACTCCAAACGGCACAATATTTTTGTAGGCCACCTTTATTCTAGATTTTGTGACTAAATTATCTTGCGATTCAAGTATTAAGCAAATGGGTGTTCATGACTTTTCAGTACATAATTAAATAGACAACGTTTGCCAAACTCCAGATTGTAAACGCCCCAATTTCGAGAATTTTCATAAATAAAAAAATTTGTAGATTATGATGTTTTAGTCTGCTGTTAATAATTAAATAAAAAGGGTTAACACGAACTAGAACCATTTTTCTCCACGTTTTGCCTGTGGCTCGATGACTATTATAAAATATTTTTACATCATAAATTTGGTAAGTAAAAAAATAAATAGTTCGTTCTGCATACATAAACTCTATTATGATTTCGGAAAAAAAAATACTTTCATGTTTTCTGACATTAATATAAATAATAATAATAAATAAATCTTGTAACAGCTTTTTTAAAGTGATTTTGGAACAGCTCTTATTTCTGTATTTAGGTATATCTATTTAGGTATATATCTATAGGTATATGTATTTAGCACAACTAATAATAATAAGAAATAATGATAAACGTACAATTAGATAAAAATGATGGATGAAAACCAGGTAATAAAACGTGTCATTGTAATAATTACCTGCTCTGTAAAATAGATTAAATTCGTAAGGAAAACCTCGCTGCTATTATATATTTTTCAAGCTGCTAGGAGGATATCCAAGTATTACAAAGAATGACAACAGACATGCTGAGGGCAATTGAGTTTATTGCAGAACAATAACAATCTATTCCTGGCTCGGTAATAAATAATGAGGGACAGGATAGTGATATTATTACCATAATAATATTATTATATGCTAGCATATATTATTATTATCTCAGTATGTAATATTATTATGTGTATAATAATAATAATAAAAAACATGTACCACTACAATCCATGAAGGGTCTTGTGTTCAGTACTATTTAGGTAAAATACAGTTTATTTTTAATTTTTAAGTAGTAGGACAATATAATAATATTGTCATGTTAACATATTGCGATATTAATTAATAGAAGCTGGGTGTGTCCCAGGAAGGTTCTCTGATCCCAAAGTTGATGGATAATGAAAAATTAGTTGTCCTCATCCGAATTTGAACCCGGGACCATGAGCTTTGGAAGGTTTAATTTTAATTAATTAGGGAGGAAAACCTGACGATTGAGCGTGATCTCGTCCCTATAATCTCCGTGAAAAACCGTTGGGCTTAAGACAGTACTTACTTACAAACCCTTCATGGGTCTGGTAGTGGTGCAGGTATTTTTTTATTATATTAATATATAATATGTGTTTAATATAAAACACAATTGAAAAGAAATGGCGAAATACCTATTTCGATCTTGTAAAAAATATAAATGTTATTCATTGTTAAATTTTCTTTTCTTTCTTTTTTTTTTATTGTTAAAATACCATTTCTGTTATATTGAGTTTCAGAACTACAAAAAAGTTTATAAACCACGGTCCGATTTTCATCAGAAAAGTAAGAAATTTAAGTTAGGTGTTTTTTTTTAAAAGAAAATGCTTTTTGTTGAATAGGAAGCAATAATTTAAAAAAAAATTGAATAATTAACATTACTTTGTTGTAAACTAGACAAAATTCACTTCAATTGATAGTGGAACTCGTCATAGATAAAACCAATGAAAAAGGACGTTTTGAGCGGATAATCTAAGCTAAGTTAATTTAAATTAATAATTACTATTTTTTTTTCATTTATATATTTTCTCCTGATGTGATTTTCTCGACCAACATCATTACTTAAGG